TCTGAGGCAGACTCTAGGTGCAGGAGACCAAGGAGCTACGTGCTTTAAAGAGCGATATGCCGCATGTGGATCTCGTTTGACCTTCTCAGAAATCTCTGTCAAAGTGCGATGAGTCCTTTCTCGGGCCTGATTCTTTATCTGGATGGCATGTGCCTTGGCTGCCTCGTCTAGCGAGCGCTGAGCCTGTTTGAGGTGCTCAGTGCGAGCCATCTTATTTATGACGTCATCCTCACGTTTTAGGTTCCGTAGTGCAGTCTGCCGATGGTTATGAAGCCGCCACAGAGGTTGTGCTGTCGGAGCTGCGTCTGAGCTGCCTTCTTCTGGGTCCCTCGGCTGGAAAGTCTTGGCGTGTTCGAGAAGAAGCTCGTTGACCTCATCAGGGTGAAGAGGCTCTCCATTCTTCTGCGCTCGAAGTTTGTCGACATCCTGTGCAACTTGCTTCCGCAGGGTTTGAGCCAGAGGAGTGTTTTGTCTAACATGGTGGGCCAGTAGGGACTTTTGTTTGGAAGGGACTGCCGGTTGAGTTCTGGTCGAGAACGGGTGTCTCCAGACCTTCTTGAGGGGTACTGCCGTCCGGAGTGGCATGTGTTTGCCGCCTTTACGCCATGCTCCCAGCTTAAAGTCTTTGAGGACACACACTTTGCGGGCCAGCTGAGCAGCGTAGAATTTGGAGGTCAAGATGAAATCTATCTGAGAGCTGCCCTGTGGCGAGATGAAGGTGTTTGCCTTGCGCCCCTGCCATGTGTTAAGCGCAACTAGGGAGTTTCGCTGAAGAAACTTCTGGAACTGCTTTTGAACCGGCTTGTGTTTAGAAGATCCTGCTGGCACCACTCCCCCTACGAAGGGGGGATTTGGTTTTAGGGAAGAGTTGAAGTCGCCCGCCAGTACCGGAACAGTGCGCTGTGACAAGTTGGAAAGGGACTTGCTTAGGGAGGAGAGAACTTTGCTTTGGGTGGCATAGTGGTCCTGCTCCGTCATGCCTCGTTGCTTGGTATACTGGTAGCAGTTTAGCAGGAGCACTGGATGGCCTCGGACTTCGCAGTGAACCTCGTGAGCACGGCCTGGGTGTAGATCCTGCCAGCGTAGTGTCGCTGAGTCTATGCTAGGCGATAGTAGAGTGAGAACACCTGCAGAGCGCCTGTGCTTTGGCTGTTCGGGTAGCTGGGATGTTTGAGCGGGAGGAGACCTCACGAGCTCTTCATCCGGCAGCCCGCCTGAAACAGCCGTCCAGCCATGCACTTTAAACTGGGAGGATGTAGTCCAGTGGGTTTCCTGGATAAAGATAACATCGAGGTCCTGCTGATTTTGCAGCCACTCCTTGAACTCTGCCCACAATTGCTGGCTTAATCCACCTGCATTCCACGAGAAAACTCGCAGTGGTTTGGCTTCGAGACCGCCTCTAGGGTGACGCCTGCGCGGTTGCCTAAGAGGAAGCTGCGGTGCAAATTGAGCATGCATGTTTTCCTTAGTCTCTTGGCTTGCACTAGGTGCAGCCGTGCCTGCGCTTGCCTGTGCCTGGCTTAGAGGCAAATTTGTCCTTCGATATGGTACTGCGCAACCGTCCCTTAAGGCTCGGTGACAGGCCCGACGATAGGAGTGTTTCCGAATTAAACCCTCTGCCATCCGCTTGTTTCGACTGAAGTGCCGAAGCACGATCAGACTCCCCTCGTCCTGCGGAAAGACGAGAACCCTCACACTTAGGAGTGAAAGATGCAGTCTAAGACGATCTAAGTTCTCCCCCCGGAATTGGGACCGGGCCAGCTCGTGGATATGCTGTCTGCGGCAGAATCTCAAAATGCTTGGGGCTAAAGCCTCCAAGTGACCATCAGCTGGCAAGAGCTAGTAAGCCTTGAGATGTTAGGTGGGCCCCGAGAACTGTTAAAGAGATGAAGTTCGGGGCCTTGGCCGGTTCGACAGCTACCATGCGCGGGCGGCTTGAGCTGGTAGTGCTTCAGCAGCAACAACAACAACAACAACAACAACAACAACAACAACAACAACAACAACAACAACAACAACAACAACAACAACAACAACAACAACACCTGCAAAGACTTCTTCCGCTGTTGTAGCTGTTGCAACTCTGCTTCATGTTTTGCACGATGGATGTTGTCCACAGCCCAGATTGTGCCACGCAAATGCGCTTTCTCCTTTTTTGTCTTCTATTCTTGATGTCCAGTCTCCAACAGCCCTGAGGTGGAATGTACCGTGACCGCACACCAGGGAAATGGATTATCAGCGTCCGCACGCCTTGTCGTGAACGTGGGTGCTATCAGCTATGGTCCGAGTCCGGTGGTTCTGCTGGAGGTACCGGACAAAGAGTTCACATCTCACCAATGCTTAGCTCTGTCCATCGCATACATCATGCAATTGGCAGATAGTCGCAGATAGTGCATCTCGTGGCTTTGAGGGCCAAACCCAAGCAATGTCTCAGCCCCTGTGAGGGCGCTTCGAGAGTGAAGCCGGCCTTGGGGCCGTCGATCCAGGCAGACGGTGCACCGCTACGTGGCTTGAAATTTCGAAGTCGCAGATGGGATTTGAGTTCTGATCTGTGATCTCTGATCTCTGAGTTTACAAAATCAAGGTTCAAGCTTGCTTGCTCACCGGAGCCGTCCTGGTTGCAGATCGACGAAAAATCAGGGGAGCTCTCTCTCGTTCCGGAGTCAAAGGCGCGCGATGTACTGTGTTGGGTTATTTGGGTCAAGACTGCAAACGTGTCTTCAGATTGCGGGTGCTTGGAGAGACGCCCTTGCAGAAGCTTAGAGGCTGCGTCGCTGACTGACGAGAAGGGCAAGTACCTGGACAGAGGTGCTGGTTGGTCGTTTGTTTGTTGATTCTCAATCACGGTCACCTGAGATGAAGTTTCCACTGCTCATCACAGGTGCCACCTGCATGATCCGCAAGGGCTTGAGCAGCACAAGCGTGGTGGTTTTGGCGCCGGTCCCATGGACATCCATGCTCTTCGGTGTCAGAGGTATATATATATATTACATATACGTACACCTAAAGGAGCGCCAAGCTTACCATTGGCCCCTGGCCCATGTGTACAGCTACACCCTGTACCATAGAACATATTTGACCAGGTCCTATACCTATGCCAGCGAGCGTTCCCTCTACGTGACCGTGGGTGAGAAGAGTCCGATGCTGCAAGTCCAGGGCCAGGGAGGTGCGCCCAACTTGAGAAAGTGCAAACCTTATACTTCTGAGAAAAAGAGAAGCCCCAAAAGGCATGCGTCTAGCCAACTCTGGCCCTTGAGCCCAGCTTCCTACCCCAAGTTACAAGAAGTCGATACTCGAAAAGGTCCCTATGCGACCACACCGACCCGGTTCTCCGCATCATGTTGGCGTCTTCGTCAATCGAACGTAGAGGTTTTGGGTTCACTGGGTTTTTTGAATGCTAGCCTGGAGGAGTGCATTTGGTTGGGTAGTGAAAGGAAGTCCAAGATTATGCGTACGGTAAGGATCCTGTTTTGGCATTTTACCTATATATTCTATTATATGATATTATATTTTTCTTCTATTATATCCCCAATTCAGGAACTTATAACTGTACTCACTAAGTCCATTGATCCTCCCTCCGAGTACCAATGTCCCACGCTGCTGAAGTCCTGCATTGGCTGAGGCTCCCTAAAAACCCTCCGCAAAAAGAGCCGCGACGGATCAACCATGATACACTGGAGGTGGCCCTGCACTTTGTGGTAGCGCGGAAAGGGGCCTGAATGTACGGCTTCCCAATCGTCTGAAGACCTCTCAAGAAACAAGGAGAAACGGGGAGGTTGGGCCCAGAGCAGGCACACTATTGGGAATCATGTCCGATAGATTCCTGCGCTGAGCCGAGGCACGAAGATTGGCATGGCTCCGTCTTTGCCTTCGACACCATTACCGGTTTGGCCACTTTCGAAGGCACCTTGTAAGGTTGTGGCTTTGGCTTTCAAGGCCTAGGCTTTCGGATGTACTCTAGGGCTTGAAGCAAGGCGACCTTGTGAACGTCGAATCTGGGTTTAGGTCCCGTAGCGATTTCTCAGAATACCTTTGCACAGACCTGTGCAGGGATCTTGCTTCCGTACATTAACTAAGAAAGCTTTGGCAAGTCCGTAGACTCTGCAGTCTAAGCCATCCTAGTCAGCAGGCAGTTAGGATGCCTGTATCTGCACTGGGCTTCAGGGCTGCGGAGTTTAAACCCAAACCGTATGTCGTGGTTGACAACCATCGTGGAGGAGCGCGGTCTGTTTTCGAGACCCTAAACCCGCCAACAAAAACGCAAATTGAAGCTCATATCGTTTGTCACTTCTTGGGGTTTTGTTGCGGGTCGCGGTTGGGCTCCTCGCTGTCGCACTGTTAATACTGTACTTGATACCGCACTTGGAAAGCTGCAGCGCTCCCCAGGTCATAGGATTTTCAGCCTCGACGTCCTCACTGGAGCACTCCAAGTCAGTCCGGAGGAGTCCTTGACGAAAAGTATGGACTCCATCAGACCCCTTTATCAAGAGAGAGTGCGCCGGGAGATCGCACCATGGCAGTCGAAGACTCTAGAGCATGTGTTCGGTTTATTCTGTGTAGTACAGGTCTTCGCCCTACGCCCCCCGACCCCCCCCCCCCCCCCCCCCCCTACCCCACCCCCCATCCCCATAACACAACACGCCGAGAAAATGACGTGCAACATCTATGGTCACTACGAGTGGACTACGTCCGGTCAAGAAGCTGTCCTTGTGCATTCCATACAGGACCTGAGCATCCGTGACCACACATGCTGGTCGAAACGACAGGTCAGCTTTTCACAGATGATAGAAATGGGCAGAGTTGGGCCTGGAAATTTGGCCGCATGCCAGATTATGTGCCGACGTGATCCAGACTGCACGCACACCTTCGAATGGAAGGTTGATCCCAAACGTAACTCTGGCAGCATCAAAACGCCCACTCCTGGACACTATTGCATGAAGGTGGCTGGCATTTGCTCCGACACGGCAGATCCCGCTTGCCAATTCAAAGGCGTAACGACCATGGAGAGATACACCGGGTGCGGCGAACGCCACAGCTGCATTGAGATTCACTTGCAGAACTTCCACTACCTTTCGGGCAAGTACTGCTTCCAGGGCGAGAATGCCGCCAGGAGGAGTCAAGGGCCAGTCTACTTCAAGCACGGTATGACGCCACAGGCTCGGGCCCTTGCCCCACTGGCATGAAAGGGCGAGAGGGGAGAGGGAGAAAGAGGGAGAGAGGAGCCTCCGCTTCCCTTTTACAGGAATCCTTCTGGCTTATGCGAGCAGATGCCTCTCGGCACCAGCTTTGTGATGACGGCGATTGGGTCCTGCAGAGGGTGGAAGCTGGTAAGGACCGATGCCCCCCACTAATTTCATGAAGGCAGACTTAGGCAAGGTTGATGTTCCGAGGGTTTTCCCCGAAAACTTTCGCAACAAGCCGCAACCCGTCCTCCGACCCCTCTGCTCCCAGAAAAGAGGTGCGAGGGAGGGAGCACTCACCTGCTGCAACCTATGAGTTGGTGAAGTTGGAGACGGTCTGCTCGAAGATCCCCCACCACCGGCCTCGTGCGATCCGAAGTCTGACCCGCCGGTTGATGTTTCGTACACGCCTAGATGAGCGATGTTCCCTCATCGCAACGCGAGATAAGCCCTACTCTTGTAACTTGGAAGCCCATAACATAGTCTCGAAGATGCCAGAACTAGCTGGAACAGAATGGCGCTGCGTTGACCGCAGACAGCCAGCAACAACGCAAAGCAGGACGAACTTCCAAGAATACCACCAGCAATGAATTGGTTCGACTATTCCGCTATGCCAAGGCTGCAACCAGCACCGGCTTGTTTGACGTGGGAATGAAACAGCGACCGCAAATAAGACCGCACGTATGGGAAGTGCGAGCGGAAATCTTAGGGGATCACGGAAATCGGAGCGGCACTGAGATAGACATAGGACGCACCTGGAAGTGGCATGATCGAGAGCAGAAATGAGTCCGCATATCCGAGCGGCAACAGGCAACAGGCGCGGAAACGGAGCATCAGTTCTAGCTGAGAGCAGAAGCAGCACCATTGCATTCCAGAACTGGGGCTTTTTGTGCCACGGAGAATGCTTGATCATATGCCCGCAGGATTTCGAGAATCAGACATCGGCCTATGTGGAGTTGCACGGCCACTGGGAGTTCAAAGCAGCCCAACACCACCCTAGAACCTAAAAAGGCTTAGAAACTTAGAAAGCCTGCAGTGACTGCACGGAATCAGATCTGGCTCAGGTGGCGTCGTTGCGTGCCTTCAGGGTGACGTGGGCGCCGATGTCTTCCGTTCTGACAAAGTAACGTACCAGGCCCCAAAAGCCTCCCAAAACATTTTTGGCCGAGACGGATTCAGGGTTTTTGGGTCTTGGGGGTGAGCAGAGGGTTGTGGGAGACTCTGGGCACTTTCTTGGTATCCTTTTTGACAAGGAGTGTTCTTTTATAGGAGTTTCGCAGGGACCATAATTTAGAACGCCCCACAGATGCAGGTGAAGATCCAGGATACGAACTCGCAGCTTGCTCATGGCAAGAAACGACCGGGCCTCGCCACCTGCCGGCCTATGTTTTAGGGGGGTGTTGCGGGGGCTGCATGGTTGTGCATGTCTGCATGAGAGAGTTGTCGTGGCGCTCGATGTATACACAACCCTGCTGTTATGGGTCCGATCGGCTGGCAAAGCGTGACAACCTCGTCAATGTCAGATGCAACCGCCGCACTTGGCCAAAAAGGTAACGCCTACTGAAGTGGTGTAGCACGGCCCAACACAACGCCGACACAAGGACTGGCAGGTGCTGCGCTTCGAGCCCACTTGGTGGGTCCGGCGCTGGTCTGGCACGAACACGACGAAGGCCCTGCTTTGTTTCGATAGGAAATGCTCGCGGCCGCTGTAGAACTGCTTGGGGATTTCAGCGCTCCGCATTCAAGGGATAAGTATCGGTCTTTGTGAGTTTGCGAAACTTAAAACCGAAGACCCTGAAAGCAATCAGTGCATGGGACGGGTTAGACAACTTGGTTCCAGCCTCGCAGACAGCAAGCGGGTCACCGTGTGGCATCTAGTCATTCTTACGTATCAGGCTGATGTAAGGATTAGTATCGGAGCTCGAGGAATTCGCTGTCGTGCACACTTATGTCATTACAATGCCAGCCGCGCTCCACTTGTAGCAGCGCTCGGTATGCCGTGATCCCTAAGAATCCTAAAGGCCCTACAGCCTAAGCCCGAAGCCCTCGAAGTGTGGAGGTCGAGGCCGCTGTGGCAGCTCCCAACTGCCCGGCGCCAAATGTGACCAAGCAGGAAGAAAAAGCGGAGGAGCGCAACGTACGCGTTGCGATTCCAGGTTTAGGCGACCTCAAGTCGTAGAGTCGTAGGACCAGGCAAGTAGAAGGCACCGACAGAACTTTGATTTCAAAGGCTGTTTTGAGTGCCTGGAACGCCTTTGCGAGGAAGGAGAGACGGAGGAAGAGGAGAATATCCCGGAAGTACAGCCGTTGGCCGCTCTGTAGAAATGCTGGTTTTGCTGGAACAGCGTACTTCTGTAGGGTTGTCTTCTCACGAGATATCGCATGTTTGGGTCCCTGTTCGTTTGAGAAGCTTGGCTTTTGCGGCTGCTACTCTTCTGACAGTATTTTACTTTCGGCATGTCGAGATGACCAGTTCGCCGGAATTCTCTCCCACAGCCCATATAGTATAGTAGTACAGCAGGAGCACGTTCGGACAATTCCAAACAGAGGATGCAGAGGATTGCTCTTCTTACCGGTACTACCGTGCTACAGGCACTCAAAGGTGTGTAGATTGCCTTGACACAGTGCACACATGTGCCCTGCAACATGCTGCAACCTTGATGCCAAGCCGCTCAGGGCTTCAATTGCTCAGAATTCGCAGGTTCTGGATGATCCAACGACGGAGCTGGAGAATGACTTCTGGCTCCATCCGTGCGATTGCCTTCCGACCAGTTGGGGCCCGAACCCCCCCGCTGCCAGCCACTCGAATCGAATTTCTTCCCATGCCTTCAGGCCCGGTGGTCTGAAAGAGGGAGGAATTCTGCAGGCGGAGCGCCGAAGAGCGCACGATCACTTGTCGTGTGCTCAAGGCTTGCACTTCACAAGTGGAGCCTCGGAAACCTTCATTGACAGTCGTTTGCGCAGCAAGCTGGTAAGCAATCCCAGCTCCGAGCATCAGAAAGGATCAGAATCTTGATTCTTGACCTGCTGAGCCTATCATCTGCCCACAGCCGGATTGCCGAGGCGATGCCGACGCAGATATACCGCCAGGCAGCATGAACAAGTTCTTCCCGGAGCCCGTCCTGATAGCGCTTTGTTCGGCATTCAGGATTCAAGATGCGGTATAGGAACGGCGTCCGTGCTCATGAGCCCCGAAGCAGGAACACTTCTTGCAAGGCAAAAAGGGAGCAACCACTTCCTGAAATCCTGAGGTAGAAGGGGCCTTCGTCTGCGACATGAAGCAGCTCAGCGCGTGTTGGTATTCAAGACTGGCCTGTGTGCCGGTGCAATACATTGCCGTATCTCTTCTGACTGTTTGTCCCTGACATGGTCTACGACGTTGATTTCAATTTCAATGATGCACACGTGTGTGTACGTAAACATACTTGTGTCAGCATAGAGGAGTTTCTCCCTGCTGGGGTTCATCATTGCTCGAAGCCCTAGCGGGCCCTAGCGCCCGTAAACCCGAAGCATCCCGAAAGTGTAGGTGTTTCAGGAAGACTGGAGCTTACGGGTTCTGGTTTCAAGAGAGCGTCTTGGGTTCGGGGCTTCAGGGTTTTTAGGGTTGAGGGACGCCGCAGGCTTTACGGACTTAGGGGTCGGCTTGAAAGAATATGTGTGGTGGAATATGGTGAAATCTTGCCGTTTTTGCTGGGTTTCGCTATAAGGGGGTCGTATACGTTGTAGGTCTATTCCTGACTTAGGTGTGGCCAAACCCTAAAACCCTAAACCCTTACCCCCGAACTAATGGGGAGCCCGTGCGCTCCAGCATCAAGAAGGCCCCTAAAGTGTTTAAGCAGTACTCCAATTCTACGACTTCGATTTCTACAAGTGACCACTCCACATTGTTATTAGTATTCCAATAAGAATAACAATAATAATAATAATAATGATGATGATGATGATGATGATGTTGATGATGATGATAATGATGATCCTGATTGATGATGATGATGATGATGATGGTGACGATGATGATGACGACGACGGTGATGATGACGATGATGACCTTTCGGGGCAAGTGTACTGCTTACAGTTTGGGGCTGAAAATATTGTAGCAGGTTTAAGGTTAAAGTTGCATTCTGAGGCAGCTGATCAGCGTGCACGTGGAGACTGCAGATGAGGCGTCGGCGAATGAAGGCGGTTGCAAGATGATTTGCGTGAACGACGCGAATTGCGAGTACTACTGGGAAGGCCAGTCACCAAAACAGGGGCGACTGTGTTTAGTCGTGGGAGTCGGACGCTTGAAAGCCCCCGCCCCCTTGAACCCTGCACCTTCCGTCAGCTCTATCTCAAGTTGGGCATCCTGTACATTTTTTTGCACGAGCTGGGCTGTGCGCGCTGTGACGCGTGATTTGCCGCTCCCTCAACAGATGGTCTCTGCACAATGTGTGCTAACTGTTGATACTATCCAGAAACGCTGTTACACGCCTCGGCAATTATCCTCAAGCTCCTGCAAAGTATTTGTATCTTGTTTGCTCACGAACGGGTTTGGTCGTGGAAGGCTGGGGAGTACCGTTCGGATCCGTTCGGCATTCGGCCTCCCAAATAGAGAATGAAGGATCCTGGCTCAGGTGAGGTCTTGGGCGTCAGGCAGTGTCGTTTCTACAAGGACTGTATCGTTCTGGACTCTCAGACGCGTCCAGCATTCTTGGTTTTCTGTCCTCTTGTTTCCCGCTTTAAGCCATGAGACCAGTTGAGCTTGAGTTTTCCCGTGTATCAGTGGTGTAGCAACAGGGTATGCAGTATCTCCTATCTCTTCACATGAACATGACTCTGTGGCCCTGAAGGGCTAAGGAAGGATCTGATATTGAGTAATGTGTGTGTTCTCAGCAGACGTCGAGCACTTTCAGGCCCTTGAGCTCAGAGCTTCTGAGGTTCGCGAGGTCGGCGTTCTCGGGACAATTCGTGGCGTCACAAAGGAGGAAGCATGCAGAGTCGCTAACCCGGAAGTGTGCTGGAAAGTGACACAGCGCCGTGCTTACCTCGGGGCCGGGGCGTCTTTGACCAGAACCAAATGCATGTACCAGGCGAGCGCAAGGGGAGAATTTAGATGTGGGGCGGGTTTCGGGGCATGTTGGAGGGTTCGAGGGAGGTGATGTTCCACTTGTTGGCAGGGCAGGGGTGCGAACAAAACATG